TTTGGATTCTGTTCCTGTTTTCTGTTTAGAAAAGAAATCTATATTGGAGAGGTTAGCCAGTGTTACTAATAGCCTAACACACCCCCCTTCATCTCTCACACATGCCCTAGTCTTTAAAAAAGATCTGCGCCAAGCCAGCAGGACCTCAGAAAAACATAATTCTTTTTTTTTCATTATATAATGGCCTATATTCTGCTTTTAACATGTTGTCATGTGCATCAAGACTCTGAGTTGAAACCTTTTGTCACGTACCCTTTAGTGCTTATTGCTACTGGAAGCCTTTTAACTGGTATAATAAAGCAGAAATAGTTAGTATCAGGAAGATTAGTCCCATTTTGCCTAGGAAATTATGGCATTTCTTACATTTCTCTGGGTATTTTAACATTTTTTTTGCATCTAAGATGCAGAAAAAATCTGCAGAGCGAGAGCCAAAGATTAGAGTTGAAGATTATATGGAAATAGATTAAAAAGAGGTTTTAAATGAGGAAAGTATCCCAGTATACACCACGTAACATACACACACACACACATGTCACAGGCAGAGAGGGCTGAGACTAATGTGGCAGTTCTGCTGTTTCCTACTCAGGAACTCTTCTCCTAAGTATGATGCCATGCGTTTTAAAGCTAGGGACCTTGAAAGAAGTAATGCATTTGCAGCCACAGATAAAAGCAGCAATGCTGCACATAAGAACAAAAGCGGATGGAGCACATCTGTGTTTTTGGAGATTAAGTGACATATGGCAGTGGCATGCTTTACATTGTCAGAAATCTATAAAATATCCAAATTAAGATGAATTTTTTTTTTATAGCTACCAAAGCAGTAAAAAGTGCCATGATTTTGTAGGAGATATTTGCAATTTCAACTATTTATGCTGATTTGGTTTCCTGTGAAATAGCTCACATTTTCAGTGATATTATCTTTGTAATCTCCTTATAATTGATCATTGCATATACTGTTTATCTTTCTATGACCATTCCATGCACATTTTCAAAGAAATTTGGAAAATATCCAGTGATAAAAATAAGTAATAGAGGGTTAGGTACCTTGTAAAATCTGCTGTTTTTTTAGAGAAGTATATGAAGTTCTAGGAGTTAGACAGGTCTCATACCCTAAAGGTTTTCTTCACGCTCTTTTGCTGTGTAAATGTTCCAGTGAGATTGTGGACATTCATTATACAATGAAATGTAATTATAACTACCAATATAAGGACACAGAATTTTCAAAAAAGGCCAGAGGAAAGAGAAAAAAAAAGTACATAGATGTGTGTAACTGTAGAAAGTACAAGGAGAGTGAGTAAGTACTGCAATACCGCAGGAATTGAGGAACATCGTGAACAAGAGGAGGGACGATCAATAAGCGCTGCCAATATTGCTCAGAATGCCTTGGGAATTCATGCTCATCAACCGAGTGATGTTTTCAGCTGCACAGCCAGAGCAGACATCCAGATCTGCATTCCACAAACCATGCAGGCCAGCTGAGATGATAGCTCCTTGAGCATCGCTGTCATCAGGACTTGGGGAGCTGGGCCCAGACCTCAGCTTTTGGATGCATCACTGTAGGCTTGGAGCTGATATCAGCCACCCCCAGACTGGTCTAACTAAACTGCACAGTCCCAGGGAGTTCAAAACCCTTCATAGACAGCATGAAGGCTCGTTTTCCCTATGGGTAAACTGCCTGTAGATCAAGATGCATCCCTCATTCCATCTACTCACACACTTCTATCTAAATAGCTGGATTCAAGAAACCTGCTTCCAGGTTCATGCTGACGAGATCCCTACAGCTCACCTACAAAAGCTCTGCAGATCTTGTTTTTAAGACCCAACAATCCTGTGTTTGTCTCTCCATAGCTTTGCCTGACCTTTGCATTGCAACACACCTGCATATGGTGCATATACAATAAAAAGCAAAGCCTAGAGTGTAAGTTAACAGCAAGGCTGTTTGCTTTCTTCCCAAATACTTCCAGGTAGGCATGCTGTAGAGGAATGAAGGAGAAGGACAGTGATTTATAGCTCTGTAAAGCAGATCTGTGCCTCAGAAATAAGCCCACAGGGAAGCAGCCCCCTTCTGCTTTCCCATTACAAGTTACATTTCTCTCCTATCACAGGACTCCCTGATTCAGCTGAAGCCACAGTAGCAAAGTTCTGTGGTCTCACAGTAATAAATCTGTTAAATCTGAGAGGTGCAAGATTACCTGGTACAGAGGAGAAGGTAGCATGCTGCATTACAGAAACGGTTCCCGGGAGGTTACCTTGCTGTGCTGCTCACATCAGCTCCATCCTAGAAAGAAAGAAGGATTCAATGATAGCGTTATTAGTCCCAAGAGGTTTTGAGAGTAGTTTATAGCTCATGATGCTCAGTAGGCTCATAAATATGGGCTTCTTGCTGACTTTTTGCGGAGAGCAGAAAGAAATTTGAAGAGAGACCTAAGAGCACAATCTAGTCCGTGAGTAGCTCCACTGTCCATAAAGCTCTTCACAGAGCTGTCTGGGGACCCCATTCCTGTCATGGATTAATTGATTGGCCTTGTGCCTTGCGCTTATCTGCAAACCGTAGGAGCAGTTTAGAGAATTAACCACCCAGATTAATCAGAAAGTAAAGCTGGAGAGGCCTGATGCACTGCACAGCCCAGGCCACTGCATTTCACCTAATTACCCCATATCTACTCCAGCAGATTTTTGGCTTAAGCAAATTCTGAAGGAAGACACACAGCAGTCCTCATACGAGGACACCAATATGGGCCATGTAGATATTTACGACATTCCCTGCTATAAAAAAAAATCTATGCTTTATGTCCATGCTATGCTTTTTTAATTATTATTTATTTCATCTCCCAAACACAGATGGCTTTGGTGTCCTTTCTACAAAGCAAAGAGCCCTTTAGCAACCTGAGCCTATTATTGCAGAGTCCCTCAACACTTGCTGTTCTTCCCAGTAGGAACAAAGTTTGTCTCTGTGACAGTGTGTCTCCTTTCTCCATGCCCATTACCTCTTGGATCTGCTATAAGCAATCCCTTTGAGGATGCCCTCTGCTTTGACCTCATACCAGCCTCTCTGGCCGTGTGTTGGAGAGCCCAGCTCCTTCCCTGGGCTCTCATTGTCTTCAGGAGCTACTAGGTGTCCCAAAACAACAACCATTCACAACAACCTCTGGCCAGAGAACAATGACAATAATCAGAAGCCTAGTTATGACTAGACTTCTTCCTACTGAACGGCCTTTCCTACTGTGACTTTCACAAGCACTATCCAAGAAAAATATCTGAATTAACCATCATTTATTTCCTTAGTGTAGTTGGAAGCTTACAGGATTGGATTTCTATCCCACTGCTGTTGTGCCATAGTGTCACTTCTGGTTCTTCATCTTCTCTCTTCCAATTTCTCCTTGTATGCAACATGTTGAACTTTATCAGGTCAACACCAACGAACTGCCCCCGCATTGTGAGGGACTGCAGTGTTCAGAAGCACCACAGCTGAGTTCACTCCTGCGCCATAAGGCTAGGAGAAAATTTTTACAAAATGAGAGATTGGTTGGGGCTGGAAGGCAATGTAACACTTCCTGAAATTGTTTTGTCCAAACCTCATGCTGCAAGCAAGGCCAGCGCAAGCAGGTTACCAAGAGGATGTTATGGGAGAAACTGTCCAAAACGTTACTAAAGTAGAGAAAATCACCATCCACCGATCTCACTTAAATTGTTAATGAGATAGCACTTTTTTTCCTGCTGATTCAAAGCAATAGGAGACAGGCTGGAGCTGTGGTTCACTGAGACTCTCTTGTTACTCAGATACATGAAGCAAACACTGCTTGCTAACGCCCATCAGCAGCAGTCCGCAGGTAAGGACTCACAACAGAGACTCGCCAATCTTAAAAATGTGCTTCCAAATTCCAGCCTGGTTTAAAATTTTGTACCAGGGACAGCACTAGAGGCTGAGGTTGGACCTCTGGGGCTTTGGGGGCAGTGGAAATACTTATCCTACCACTGCTCCCCATCCCAATCTTCCTTGTCACCAGCTTAGCACTTAGAGATGCAGTGACACAAAGCATTAGCGTGGGCAGCAGTGGGATAAAAAGCAGCAGTCTCTCTGGAATATGAAACACAGAGCATTGCAAGAATGAAAGAAGTTTAGAAAAAGGCAGTTTTGACCCATTCCTGCTCCAGAGCAGCCTGATCTGAGCGATGAAGCCCATGTGAGGCCAACAGCTGCCAAGGCAGCCTGCCAGAAGACCCCAAAGGCTCTGCTGTCCCTGAACCTACGTGGTTCTGTAAACAGATCTGAGGAGCACACAAACATATGGTGAAGCACCAGCTCGGCAGCCTAAGAACAGATCAGCTGGTCCCTGTGAACGGTTCCACATGCAAGAGGTCACTGAGCGGCAGGGCCACGCTGTGGAAGGGAGATGGGAAGGACCCAATGCAAATGTCTCGTCCTGGGATGTGTCAGTTCACAGCATTTAGCAGCACAAGTGTGAAGGAAAAGACATAAAAGGCCCATGAAAATGATGTATTATACAGCATAACTCTCCAAAATAAATAGAAACATCCTCCCTGCTTGCTAACTAGGCACCTTCATACTGGAAACCCACGTAGATCCCTCCAGCCTCAGGAAAACCAGGGAGGCAACACTAATTAAGGACATTTATAAACTGAGTGTGATATTATTAGCTTGAGAGGATGTGGCTGCGGTGATGGAGAGCAGCTTGCAGGGTTCGCCGAGCACCTCAGGGACAGGGCAAGGAGGAAGATGTTGTGGCAGTTTGCTGGGATTGTCGAAGAAGTTATTGATCATGAACACTGTGAGGAGAGTCCTGGTGGCTCTGGGAAGACCTCTGCTCAGGTGTCAGAAAAAACATGACACACAAGGCAGCAGGAGCTGCAATGCAGCCACCATGCTGAAAAAGGACAGTAAGAGAGATTTTTCAAGCAAACAACAAACAACAACAACAACAACAACAAAAAAGTGTCCCTCCGAATGACAAATGTGGATTGTCTTTCTTTTCTCCTAGTCTCTCAGCAGGGTGAAAGCCAGAGACGCTTATACAGAGATCTGCTGAGAAACTACAATCGTCTTGAGCGGCCAGTAGTGAACGACTCGCAGCCCCTGGTCGTGGAGCTCCAGCTTTCCTTGCTGCAGATCATTGACGTGGTAAGGCACCTATTGCACCTGTAACAAATCTGGTCTCAGGACTAAGCAACACACCGGTCTTCTTTCCTCCTGGTCAGACAGGATTCACCCCGGCATCCTCCCCAAGCGCTGCACTACATGCCTTGACACTTTGGAAGAGTGAATATTCTTCTAAACTCTAAGTCATGTCTGATACAACATGAGGTTCAAGTAGATTAATAATGTAGTTTTTCCACTCATTTTAAACAGAAAAAAAAAAAAAAAAACCCTCCTAACATTTCAATAAATTAGAAGCCATGTGTCACTGCAGATTATTAATGGCATGTTATTCCCAGAACCATCCGGGATTTAATAATTGGAAACTGTGTGCAGCTTTCAGAGTTACCAGCACTGGATTTACACCTTTTCATTAGACATTATAATGGTACTGTGCTCATCACCCATCACATCTTCAGCATGCACTGCAGCTGAAGGAGTCTGCCCTGAGATGAGGTACATCATAGAGCAAAATCTGCAGGAACACCCTGAAAATTGCCTTTGCTCATCCCTCTGCAACATGCTTTTCAAGAACTGATGATCTGACCTACAGAATTTTTTAACATGATTATCCAAGTAAGGATCCCCCTTTCCTGATGAAGAGGATTTAATATGGAAACTCATTACCCTTAGAGATAATTTCATTTATATACATGTGCAAACCAAGTCAGATCACCTCTCCCTGTCAACACAACCAACTGCTGAACATGACAGCATCCCTTTCTGTCTCCACCCTACAACTCCTGCAGTTGATGGTGTAGGCTGTTTTCCCAGAGAGGCCTATAGTCAAGGAGGGAAGAAGGAAGACACACACTTTCTAACCTTTGGATAGCTTCAAACCATTTCACAGAGGTCCCAAAGTATTAAATTTCCTGTGATCTTTCTGAAAGTCTCTAGGGGTCCCTGAAAATGAAGTTCCCTAGCACTGGGTAGAGATGACTCAAGCGAATGGGTGGCAGGACCCCATAGTTGTGCTTCTCCTTGCAGCAGGCAACAGCCATCTAGGCAGAATAAGAAGCTTTCTGCTTTAAGGTATTAGGTGTTGTATGAAGCTGGAAGGGAGAAGAGTAGAGTTGTCCTCACTGAAGTCGCTCACATTCATGGCAGGAGATCTCAGGCCTCTAATTGAATGAAAGAGCTAAGAAACCACCCAGACAATTTTAGGCAAATTTCACCGGGTGATTCCAAAGTCAGCAGAGGCATCTCAGGTCAGAAGTTCTTCCTCCAAAGAAGGAGGGCTTCCTTCCTTCCTTCCTTCCTTCCTTCCTTCCTTCCTTCCTTCCTTCCTTCCTTCCTTCCTTCCTTCCTTCCTTCCTTCCTTCCTTCCTTCCTT